CCCCGGCCCCGCCGCCGCCGCCGCCCCCGCGGGGGCCGGGACTGAGAGCGCCGCGCCGCCGAGACGCGGCCCCGAGGAGAGGGCGAGGGAACGGGAGCGGGAGCGGTGCCGCCCGCGGCGCATGATGTGGGTGCCGCTGCTGGCGTGCCTCACCGCGGGGATCGTCTCCGTGCCCAAGTGCCAGCGCGGCCCCGGAGCCCTCCTAGGGGCGGCCCGGCTGCTGGCGGCCGTGCCGGGACTCTGCCAGCGCCGTAAGTTGCCGAGTCCCGCCATCTCGGGCTGCTCGCCTGGTTGGGGACGGGGTTGGGGTTGGGGTTTGGCGCGGGGGCCGTGCGGGGGCGGAGGGCATGCCTCGGGCTGGGCGGCCGCCCCCCTGGGCGGAGGGTACCTGCGGGGAGAGCCCGGCTGGAGCGGCCGGTGCCCGCCCGAACTTCACACTCCCGGTGCGAGCCCGGGGTTTAATTGCCCATCCCGGGGGCGTCCAGCTTTGCCCGAGTCGTGGCATCTCCCCGGGAGCCCGCGGGGAGCGTCGCCCTCCGGGGGGCTGCGGGTGCTGAAGTGGCCGCTCACCCTCCGCAAGGCACCGAGAAGGGGCACACGGACCCCTCCCGGGGTGGGTCACAGGCTGGGGATGGACAGTGCTTGGGGATGAAAACACTCGGGTTTACATCGTCTGTATGGCATTTGGTGGCAGGGTTTTAAATGGATAGTTACAGGAAAATAGCCTTCTCTTTACCTTGGGGTAACGTGTATGCTGACAGTTCCCCGGTAGCTGGGGTACTGGTGGTGGCAGAGGCTCTGGTTAATGTATGTAACACCTCAAATCGTGGAAGGGCTTCCCAAAACCCCCTGGCATCAGTTCTGATGCCTACAGGCTGAGGGGAACCGGTGCAAACTCACCTTAGGTCGTAACAGCAGTTGATCAGAGCTTTCAGGTTAGTCAAGTATTTCATAAAGAGTCTTACTTCACTGGCAGCGGACAGAAATGCAGATCAAGTTGTCAATCACCTTTCCTTTTTTTCTTTTTTTTTTTTTTTCCCCTTGTGGAATAAATGCATATTCCAAGTTTAAGCCTGGAGTTAATTTAAAATGTTAACATGTAACCTCTAAAAATAAGATTTACAATGGGAACAATATATTAGTCTTAAATTCCTTATTGCATATGTGACAAATTCATGCCTAATTCAGTGGGATTTGCCCAGTACTATTAAAAACAATGGAATAATTTGTTAACTTTCATAGGATAATTTATTTTGCTTTTTTGGCTTCATATTTTGAATTCAAAACCAAACTAAATGTCAATAGGAAAAATAAAATATAATATTATTACATTTCTTATGAAACATGACATCTTGTATTTAGTATCCCAGATTCTTTTTTATGCAGTGTAATTGAGTTGAAAGGCTAATTGAAACTTTCTGGAGAGGATGGTTCTGTGCCTGAGTGCAGCAGTGCTGTGCAGCTCCTGGGTAAACACTAGTGCAAATAATGCATGAGAACAGAATGCCGTAGGGAAAAATTGGGCAGGGGGCTTTTGCTCCAAGGGATGCCTGCTCTCTTTATTGTGCTGGATAGTGAAAATATACGTGGGGGATACGTCACGGGTTACGTGTTTATTGTGACAGCAGCTCCCAGATTGGGCAGACTGTAACTCAGATAGACCTTGTTTTTTCCTCTTCATTTGAAACCTCTGCTAATTCATGAAAGCTGAAAGTCACACTGAATTCTTTCCTTCATACATAATCACTTTACAGGCTAGAGCCACGGTTGAAGCGAGAAGAGTGTTTTGGTTTGTTTTTCCGTGAATGAACACAGGAATTTTTTCTATTATTGTGTGCTTTTTCTTTTGATTGTGATCGCTCTATCAGCCAGTGCAGCACCACCTGGATTCTTTGAACTTCTGCAGGCCCTTCTGAGGGAGAGTCCGGGCAGCAGCTCCATGTACAGCTATTTGGCAGCACGGCTTTATTGAAGCAGCCACTCCTCTTTCCTTTTGCCTTGACAGTGCTGGGCATGGAGAAGTGCATCGTGCTGTTCCCATGCCATCAGCAGGTTCAGTTTATTTACATTCAGAGTTGGCAGAACCTGTGTATCTGTTGCACTGAATCTCCAGTTCTACAAGAGACTGGAATGAATATGAAACATACAGGACTCTGGTTTATTCATTCTTATTGGAGCATTTGTGGCTCTTCTAATTGAAAAATGGACAGTTTGATGCCACCTGAGGTACCTGAGGTATTCGTTCTGCAAAGTGCAGTTTGACATGTGAGTTACTGCTTGGGGAAGAGTAAAGGTAGAATTTGACCCTGGGTTTGGAGTTACAAGGAACACAAAAGGAAATCGCACAACACTGTAAAGTTGCAAGTCTCAAATTGAAGGTTTTGTAAGTTCAGATAAAAAGGTTAGTGTTGCTGCCTTCTACAAAGGGTGCCTTGTTCAGTAACTCTCACCAAAGGAAATTTGCAGTTCACTAAGCCAACTAAAACAAATACCTGACATAAGAATGGAGCTGGTTCCATAGTGATTTATACAGATCCCAAATTTATGTTTGAACATGAATACCTGACAAACTCCTGAAGATAGAAACCAGTGAACTGAATAAAAGCTGGGTTCTACAACAAGAGCACGTGCATGCATTGTGTTAATCACTTGTGTAAGTGCTCACTTCAGTGGAGACAGTCAGTTCACTTGCCTTGTTCAGAAACTGACCTGTTGAAACTCTTTAGTTGTTATCTGCTGTATAAGCACATGGAATATGCAGGGCTTAAATACTGAGGAAAGACTGATTGGTCAAGGTTAACAGAGGACATTGTTTTGGAGACACTGCTGAGTTTTGAACCAATTTTTACCTATGTTAAAATTTGAAAACTAAGGGTTTTGGTGCTTTCAAAAACATCTAGGTAGTCATTCCTGTATGAAGCTCAAGCAGGGTTTACTTGTAATGTGTGCATGGGGATGGAATGGCGTGAAAATCTTCATCCCTAATTTAAGAGTTGGAGAACTGTCACATAGCATTTCTGTTACATAGTCATGGATGACAAATCTCTTGAGCTTTGAAAAGTTGGTATTGACAGTCTTTTTTAGAGTGTCTTTGAAAAGTTGGTATTGACAGTCTTTTTTAGAGTGGCATTTAGAAAGACCGATTAGGGGTTTTAGGCAAGTAGAGGAGATGTGATCATAGCAGAGACAATTGTTAATTGATCTATCCCAATAGCATGAGTTCTGATGCTAAGCATAATTCATGAACGTTGCCTCATCTGGGTCTTTGGTGCTTTGTCAGTCTTGTCACATCAGATTCTTAGATGTGTTCCCTCTAGTTAGTTTCATAAATCCTGGGTCTTTGGTGCTTTGTCAGTCTTGTCAGATCGGATTCTTAGATGTGTTCCCTCTAGTTAGAAAGTTTCATAAATTGTTACTGTGACACTTCTCAAAAGAATAGAGAAATGTCATTCAAACCACCCATGGAAGAGATGGTGCAGGTCTGTCCCTGCACACAAAGTCTGAAATAAATGGTACATCATGGTAGCTTTAAACAGCGTTTGTCTGTTGATTTCTCTTCTGTGCTGGCCCATTTCCTTTGGGGCTCAGTGGAAGAAGCTCTATTGTATGGGATACTCAGCACTGAGACAGTCCTGCTTTTCCTAAGGCTTAAAACAATCCGAGAAGAAGAGAAAACCCATTTTTAATTTCCTGAATCTGCGTGGGTGATCTGCTCCCTAGGGGTATTGGATCATCTTTGGGAAAGCCATTCTGGGTGTTTGAGGGAGCGCGGTTGTAGATTGCAGTTCTGAGGAACAGCGAAGGGGAGGTTTGCTTATCTGCACATTGCCCAAAGAGCGTATTATGCCAACGGTATGCATAAATTTGCTTTGCAAATTATACACTTATCATCATCTGTTGCAATTTCACATCTCTTCAGGGGTTTTATATGGTAGGGTTTTTTTTATTTTACGGTTTTTGCGAGTTGAATGATACTGGTGGTTGCATGTATAGTATTTACAGTATTTCCATGCTACAGGTGTTTGAGATGTGGTGAGACTGGGTAAAGAAGATGTGCAGTTCACCAACTAGAAGAGCATTCCTGGTGCTCTGTGTGTGTCATTTAGGAAGGACGTGCAGTTGCTGAAGGAAGTAGTGAAGGCAGCCTGAAATACTCTGTGTACCCTGTTTCAGAAAGTCAGATTCATCATCATTATTTTTGGGAGTAAGTCCTTAGAACTAGGGATTCCCTTCTTTAGAATAGGTCTGACGTAAGAAACATTAGCCTTATTGTACAAACAAAAGCTACACTACATACACAAATTATTTTATATATCACCAATGTACATTTTAAAAACTGTGTATGGCAAAACCATACTTTTTTTAGTATCGGGATAGGTATATCATAGGCAGTGATTGGGACTGAAAGAGTTCTGTCAGGGTAAGAAGGGCAAGCAGAATGGCTTTGTGTTTCAAGCTTTAAATGATACTGAAATCATCTATTTTCAAGAATCATATATGTGAACTATCCTGTGCTTTTACTGTACTGTTAGTGCAGACATCTTGGTGTAAATCTCACTTTTCAAGTTAAATGTACTGAAATCAAAATTCTGGAGAAGAATATCGATTTCTTTGTGTTAATAAACTTTTTGTGGTTTGTTTTGGTTTTTTTATCCAAATTCTTACGGCCTCGGTGTTTCTCTTTCTTCTTATGTCCTCCTTCCCAGCAAAAATCTGTCTTCAAAGCTCTTATATGTGTCCTTTACTAATTGCTGACTTCTGTCTAACCAGTGGAAAGATGTAATACTTCTTTCTGATCTGCTTAAATAGACATAATTTATGATGGACAAAGTAGGATATGGTCTGTTATTCTTTTCTAAGCACTTGAACTTTATTAAAAGATATTTTTTTTTTCCTTTGGCAGTTTACATAAATGGACTTGGGCTATTTAGTTTAGCTTTTGGGAAGGAAGTAGGGCTCTAATGAATTAGTTCACTGTCCACTGTAATGGAACCTTTCTTCAAGAAGAAAAGTAAGCTTCTTGCCAGCCATTCAGGATTCCCCCTTGTTCTGGTGGCAGAACAAGAATAACCCCTTGAGCAAAATGTAAGTGTTTCAGGATGATCGGAATTTACAGCATTAGAAAGCTGCCAAAAAAGCAACTTCTAGCTGAGGCTATATTTGCTTGAATTGAAAAGTTTGCAAAGCTCATAATTGACTTTTTTCTTCATATGTTTCTCTGCTTCCCATGACTTCATTGTCATCCTGTGGT